TGTACAAAAAGATTTTATTTATTTATTTGGGGGGTAGTGCGGGCAAGCAGTAGTAGGAGCAGAGGGGGATGGAGGGGGAGGGGGAGAGAATCTCAAGCAGACTCCATGCTAACTGTGCAGCTCAATTCAGGGCTGGATCTCACAATCCTGAGATCATGACCTGAGCCAAAATCAAGAGTTGGACACTTAACCAACTAAGCCACCCAGGCACCCCACAATGTATAAAAAGAATAATACATCATGACCCAATGAGTTTTATCCCAAAACTAAAAGGCTGTTCAAAATTTAAAAATCAATTTTTAATATTTTATCAAAATTTAAAAATCCCAAACACTGTAATTCACTATACTAACACGAAGAAAAATCACACATATTCCTACCAATAGATGGAAGAAAAGCATTTGACAAAATTAGCCTCTCAGCAAATCAGGAGTAGAGAGAACTTCTTTAACCTGATAAAATGCCTTGGTGAGGAGCAGTATACTCACACTGCCAGGGTTCAAATCCCAGCTCAGCTACTCTGTAGCTGAATGATTTTGCGCAATTTGCTTAAATTCTCTGTGCCTCAATTTCTTTGTCTGCAAAATGGGGAGAAGAGCACATACTCAGTAGTGTTATGTGAGTGAGCTAGTAATGTCTTAGTCAATGTAATGGACTTAAAACATGCAGACACAAAAGGCATCTGTAACCCATAGTTAATATGGGTTTCACTAAATAGTGAAACACTAATAATCTCCTCTTAAAATTGGGAACAAGACAAGGATGTCCGCTCTCACCACATTCAACATCATACTGGAAGTCTTATCAAGAATAGTAAAGCAGGGGTGCCTGGGTGGCTCAGTGGGTTAAAGCCTCTGCCTTTGGCTCAGGTCATGATCCCAGGGTCCTGGGATTGAGCCCCGCATTGGGCTCTCTGCTCAGCGGGGAGCCTGCTTCCCCTTCTCTCTCTGCCTGTCTCTCTGTCTACCTGTGATCTCTGTCTGTCAAATAAATAAATAAAATCTTAAAAAAAAAAAAAGAGTAGTAAAGCAAACAAAAGAAACAAAAGGCATACCTATTGGAAAAGAAGAAACTGTTTCTTTTTTTTTTTTTTTAAGATTTTGTTTATTTATTTGACAGACAGAGATCACAAGTAGGCAGAGAGGCAAGCGGGGAGCGGGGGGCGGGGGAGGGGCCGGACAGGCTCCCTGCTGAGCAGAGAGCCTAATGTGGGGCTCAATCCCAGGACCCTGGGATCATGACCTGAGCCAAAGGCAGAGGCTTTAACCCACTGAGCCACCCAGGTGCCCCAAAACTGTTTCTATTCAGATATCATGGTCTGTGTCTTATTTGGAGGGGGCCTTGGAACTGTTAATTTTGGTGATGGTCACTCAACTAGCATTTATCAAAACTGATAGAACAGTACACTGAAAAGAATAAATTTTACTGTACATAAGCTAAACATCAAAAAACTTAAGTTAGTATCAATACCCATAGAGCAATAAGATACTTCACTATGAAATGAGAACATGAGCTATAAAAAACGACTACAGAAGAAAAAAGTTATTCAAATTTAAAAATATGAAAGGAGGAAAAAATACAAGAGTTTAAGATACTGAGAATTCTTCCACTGAGTGGAAAAAAAGTTAAGAATTAGAAAATATGGGGCACCTGGGAGGCTCAGTCATTAAGCATCTACCTTCAGCTCAGGTCATGATTCTGGGGTCCTAGGATTGAGGCCCGCATCTGGCTCCCCCCTCAGCAGGAACCCTCCTTCTCCCTCTCCCGCTCCCCCTGCATGTGTTCCCTCTGTCTCTCTCTCTGTCAAATAAACAAAATCTAAAAAAAAAAAAGAGAGAGAAAATAGGAGATAAAATTAGAGGGCCAGTCCAGAAGATCTAAAATAAGAGTCAATATCTCAATGTTTCCAGAAAAATAACAGAAAATGAAGAAAGGAAATTACCCCCCCAAAAAACATTCCAGAAGCCAAACACTATGGATGAAAACTGACTCATACCACACTACATCATTGTGAAATATCAGAAAAATCAGGAATAAAGATTCTATCAGCTTCCAAACACAAACAGGTCTTATATAAATGAACAGAAATCAGCAAAACAGACTTCTTAATTGAAACACTGGAAGCTAGCAAGTAATAAAACAACACCTTTGGGACGCCTGGGTGGCTCAGTTGGTTGGACGACTGCCTTCGGCTCAGGTCATGATCCTGGAGTCCCGGGATCGAGTCCCGCATCGGGCTCCCGGCTCCGCAGGGAGTCTGCTTCTCTCTCTGACCTTCTCCTCACTCATGCTCTCTCTCACTGTCTCTCTCTCAAATAAATAAATAAAAGGGGCGCCTGGGTGGCTCAGTGGGTTAAAGCCTCTGCCTTCGGCTCAGGTCATGATCCCAGGAACCTGGGATCGAGCCCCACGTCGGGCTCTCTGCTTAGCCGGGAGCCTGCTTCCTCCTCTCTCTCTCTGCCTGCTTCTCTGCCTACTTGTGATCTCTGTCAAGTAAATAAATAAAATCTTTTAATAAATAAATAAATAAATATCTTTAAAAAACAAAACAAAAACAAAAAAAAAACAACACCCTTAACATTCTGATGGAAAGCTATCATTACCATTACCATATCATTATAAAGCCTAGAATTATTATTACAAAACACAGAACTCTATACCAGACAAATTATCAGGTATGCCCTGGGGTCACATAATTGCTTTTAGAAATACTATTTTGACACCGTGAATGTCTATTATACATACATCTTCTGTCTTCAAGTAGTTGAGAATTTATTCTCATTTTTGTGGAACATACCAAGAAAAAAAGATAACACAAGTTCCAAGAAACGGAATCCAACAGAAAAGGGAGATAAATGGAACACCCAGAGTGGTGATGGAGACAGAAGATCCTAGGTTTAAAAGTGATAAAACCGGGACGCCTGGGTGGCTCAGTTGGTTAAGTGGCTGCATTCGGTTCAGGTCATGGTCCCAGCGTCCTGGGATCGAGTCCCACATCTGGCTCCTTGTTCAGCAGGGAGCCTGCTTCTCCCTCTGCCTCTGTCTGCCTATGCTCGCTCTCTCTGACAAATAAATACATAAAATATTTTTAAAATAAATAAATAAAATTTTGAAAAGTTATAAAACCAAGGCAAACCAGAGGTCAGAAGGCAAAGATGGACTTCAACATGAAAGTAAAGGATTCTTTAATCAATCGAATTGCCTTGGGAGACGATTTATAAAATTCTGTGAGTTTAGGGTCAAATTAACATTAAGGTCATGGACAACTACGCAACGGCAAAATGACAATTATTAATTCCACACAAAATAAGTAGAGTAGGAAAAGCAATCAGAGTATACACCACATGGTTCAGACCTGAATGTGGTGTTCAGTTATTACAAAAAAGTAAACAGGGAATACTGATCTAACCAAGATTGGGGCATAGGAACAATGGCAGTCTGGGGAGTTGGGGAGGGCCTGAGGGTGGAAGGGTGTGTGTTAGGAATGACCCAGATGACCTAGGAGGGTATTAAAATAAGATCTACCAAGCATGGGTTAAATCAACACAAAACGAAAATAGATTAAAAAGTGGATAAAAAAAGTAGATTAAAAAGATTAAAAAGTGGAAAGCAGCTTCTGAGGAGGAATGAACAGGGATGCAGAGTGATGGGAACTGTTAGTTTTCAAATAAAGGCTTTTGAGCCTTCTTTTTAAAAAAGATTCATTTATTTTAGAGATGGAAGGAGGGGCAGAATCCTAAGCAGGCTCCACCCCTACCAGGGAGCCGAACCTTGGCTCAATCTCACCACCCTGAGATCACCACCTGAGCCAAAATCAAGAGTCCCACCCTTAACAGACTAAGCCACCCAGGCGCCCCAATGTTCAAGTATAGGTATGCACAACTTTGATTAAAGTGAAAACTAGTTTACAGGGCACCTGGGTGGCTCAGCTGGTTAAGCGACTGCCTTCGGCTCAGGTCATGATCCTGGAGTCCCAGGATGGAGTCCCACATCGGGCTCCCTGCTGGGCAGGGAGTCGCTTCTCCCGCTGACCTCTTTCCTCTCATGCTCTTTCATTCTCTCTCAAATAAATTCGTAAAATCCTTAAAACAAACGAAAACTAGTTTTCAAATAACCACTTTGGCCATTACCGTAAGACCAAAGTTGATGGACAGCAATGGGAACGTAATCAGGGAAACCAGTTGGGAAGCTATGGCTAATCCTAGTGAAGAATAAAGGCAGTTCAGTAGCCGTGAGATTGGCGAGGAAGGGGTCAGAAACCCATTCCCCACGTAGACACAACAGAACTTACTGACTGCGTGAACCAGAAGACAGAAAGTAAGGATGAATGATGGGTTTTGGGGTTTTTTTCTCCCTGAGCGACTGTGTGGATAGATACTTTAAATGACATGGAAGTCTGGGGAAGGCGTAGGTTTGAGTGACAAGATTTATTCTGGGCCCCTTTAGTTTGTAACAGTTTATACCAAAGAGAGAGAGACCTGAAAAAAGAGAAACAGGTATATGTCGCAAAGAGACAAAATGCACAATCAGATGAACTTTCCAATAACCATGCGAGGGCAAAAAGTGGAGAGATCTTCGACGTGGTGATAGCTAGCAAGTCCCTCGAGACAGACGGTCTGAAGATAACGTCAAACGCTCACACTGCCTCGCCTCAGACGTGAGCGCCGGTGCAGTCGGTCCGCGTACCGACCGACACCGACTGCATCCCCAGAGGCGGGCCGCGTTCACATGCGGGTTCCCGCGCGCCGAGAGGGGGCGGCGGCCCGAGGCAGGCCGCGGGCAGCGGCTGCGCGAGATTCCCCCGCGCACAAGTCTCGGCCCGCGGCGACCGCGCGGACGGAGCAGGCGAGCGAAGAACCGGGGTTTGTGCGGCACGGTCACTCGAGGCCCGCGCCGCCGGGGCCACCGGGGCCACCGGGCCACGCACGGCCGGCCAAGCGCGCCTCACGTGAAGCGCGGGGCGGAGCAAACCTCCTCTCGCCTCCGGCCGAATCGCTCACCCGACGGCACGTAGTCTTCGTCCTCCTCTGAGGTAGAGAAGTCTTCAGAGTCGAACTCCTCCATGTCGCTGCCGCGCGGGGCGGGCGGAGCCACAGTACTTAAGCAGCTGTGCCGAACGGCAAAGCTCTAGGGAGAGACTATAGAGCTTCAGCGGGGGCAGTGGCGGCTGGGGTGGGCTGCCCCCATCCCCGCAACGTGTGCGCATGCGCAGAGAGTGCTACGCGGTCCAAACGCGACATTTCCGGGGCCAATGCCTCGTGCTTGACGGTACTGTAGTGGTTGACAGAACACGGGCTCCGCGCTGGAGCGATGCATGCTGGAACTTGTAGTCTTGTAGTATTCAGCACAGTCCCGTCGCTCTGATTTAATAAATGCGCTTAAACAGAATTACGGTCTTTGGGCACAAGTTGGTATTTTCGAATTCGCTTACTTGCTTAAACTTATGGTAACCCCCAAATCAATATTCGCCGTGCTCTCTGGGGTTATTCGCGGACATGCGCAGACGGTGAAGCTCTTGAGTCCACCGCCGCTGCGATGGGCAGAGGTTGAACCTAGCAGATACAAGGGGCTTTCTTGCTTCATCTCTCCTGCTGTAAATGTCCTTTTCGCAGTCTATTTAGGGGCACATTTTGTGCTTTTTGGTGGTGATTTCGCTGTTTAAAATGACCCCCAAGCGTAGTGGTGAAGCGCTGCCTAGCGCTCCTAAGCGCAAGAAGGCTGTGATGTGCCTTATGGAGAAAATACGCGTGTTAGATAAGCTTCGTTCAGGCATGAGCTGTAGTGCTGTTGGCCGTGAGTTCAATGTTAATGAGTCAACAATCCGCTACATCAAGAAAAAGGAAAAGGAAATTCGCCGATCTGTGCGTGAAGCTGCCCCGGAAAGTGCTAAAATAACGTCTATAGTGCGTGAGGAAGCAATGGAGAAGATGGAAAAGCGGCTAAGTTTATGGATTCATGAGATAACTGATTTTAAAAAGGTGTGGTGGACAGCATTGTCGTGAGGCTGAAAGCAAAAGAAATTTATGGTCATGTTACCCAGGGCCAAAAACATGTTAAACCTTTCTTCGCTAGCGCTGGCTGGCTTGCCCGTTTCAAAAGGCGGTATGGTGTGAACAATGGGAAACTTGCAGGGGAGGCAAGTTCTGCAGATGAGGCTGCGGAAGAATTTAAGAAATACTTGGTGAGTGTTATACAAGAGAAAGGATATGTGGAAGAGCAGGTTTTCAACGCTGATGAGACTGGCTTATTTTACAAGGACTTTGGCAAAAGAACCTATGTAACCCAAATGGCCTGCAAAGCCCGGGGCTTTAAACCATTCCAAGACTATGCAACCTTGCTGTTGTGCGCCAATGCCAAGGGCGACTTCAAGTACAAACCCCTAATGGTATACAGAGCCCAGAACCCACCAGCACTGACAGGGAAAAGCGTGAACCATATTCCGGTCCACTGGAGGTGGAACAGAAAAGCATGGAGGACATCCGATTGGCTCCACAACTGCTTCATACCGGAAGTTGAATGCTATCTCCAGGGCAGAAATCTTGCCTTCAGGGTTTTATTAATTTTGGATAATGCCCCAGTACATTGCTGTGAAGAACTCAAAAACGCCCACCCCAACGTAGAAGCTCTTTTCATGCACCCAAACACTACGTCTCTCCTCCAACCTCTGGATCAGGGTATAATAAAAGCTTCCAAGGCACACTATACCAGGGAGCTTTATAGCAAGGCCCTTGAGGCTCTCAAGTCCAACATGGAGACTACCATGTTGGACTATTGGAAGTCAGTCACTCTACACAACGTTATTGATTATGTTGGGACAGCCTGGGACAGCATCAAACAAGTTACTATCAATAGCTGTTGGAAAAATGTTTGGCCAGACTCTGTGCAAGATTTGGAAGGCTTCGAAGGTGTTACAGAAAATATAAAGGACAGTGTCAAAAACATAATGCATATCACATGGCAAATAAGTGGGGAGGGCTTTGATGACATGAAGGAGGAAGATGTGGAGGAAATTCTGGCAGAGAAGGCAGTAGCACCCACCAACGAAGACCTGGACGAGATGGCAAAACAAGGCATTGGAGTCAGCAATGATGAGGATGGCGTTGAAAGCCAGCCTAACACTTCAAGAACAGACCCTCTTACAGTGACTAAAATATCAGAATGGAATTCTGCCTTGGAAAGAATTTTCAGTGACATGGAAGAGTGTGACCCTATGCTTGATCGCAGCCTCAAATTTAAGCGCCTCACCTCCACGGCATTTGCCCCTTATGCCAAGATGCTTAAAGATCTGAGGCAAAAAGCAAAGCAGACAACGCTGACCCAACTTTTCGAGCCGGTTTGGGGGGGAAAGTTGCTGACTCCAACAAGTCATGAGAGACATAGGCCTGATGTTGAACTGCCGAATGTGGACATGCCGCCCTCTTCCTCTTCCGCAGAATAAATTCTACCTACTTCTTCCTTGGTTTTCGCGGGGCAACCAAGGTTTAACCACATTGTGTGCTGCCACCATCACACATCCCGCCATTCCATCAACAGTAAGATTCTAGTTAACGTTTTCATGAAATGTCTGATTTTTTTCAGGACTCTGTTTGCATTACTGTGCAGTATACAGTATGTGGTCACAGTTCTCTGTGTTTATGTGAATATTGTATGTCATACCATGTGTTTACTACATCACTGCATGTGTGCATATGACTGGGAAAAGAGTTAATACAGTCCCAGTATTGTGGAGGACATTCCACAAAAGTGCTGTAACTGAAATATTGTTTTATTATAAAGAAACACTGCACATAACTATTGTAAGAAATATGTATTAAATAAGGTATCTTTGAACAGAAACACACATAAGACAAGATCATGTATTGATGAGTTGACAGAAATGTTGTGAGCAGAGACTCACAGGAACCCAACCCTGTATTTCCCCCAGTAGTGGTGCAGTATGCGCTGAGTGTGCAACGATGATCTTAAAGACATAACCACTATCAACAGGAATCGACTGCATTCTAGAATTCAGACATCATCCACATGAATCCTTTAAGTGAATCCATATGGAGATACAGCCACGTACAATCTTTATAGTGTTACCAGACTAAAAATTTTTAAGTTATATGTACAAGGGTTTCAGTTTCTTCACATCTTGCCAATACTCTTGTCTCTTTGATTAAAGCCATACTAGTGGGTGGGAAACAGCATTTCATGGGGTTTTAGATTTGCACTTCCCTGTTCAATAATGATGTTATGCATCTTTTCACGTCTTTCTTGGCCATGGTTTATGCTCTTTGGAGAATGTCTATCCAGATCCTTCTCCCATATTAAAATCATGTTGTCTTCTTATGGTTGAGTCAAAAGAGTTCTTTATGTATTCTGAGTACCAGTCTCAGAAACATAGGCCTTGAAAATACTTCCTCCTGTTGTGTGCCTTTGCCCTCTTGATGGCATCCTTTGAAGCATAGAATGTTCTCATTTTGATGAAGTCCCATTTCTCTATTTTTCTCATCCCTGGTGCTTTTGGGCTTCTAAGCCCTTGACTGACTCAAGATCACAAAATTCAACTCCTATTTTAAGTTTTATGGTTTTCGTTTGTGATGTAGTTCTATGATTCATTTCAGATCTTCCTTATGGGAAGAGAACAGAAAAATAGATGTGAGATTAGGACCCAATATTTGGACGTTTAGCATGCTCAGCCTTTTCCCTTGGACAGGATAAGTGGAACCTGCAGTGACAAACTATGGTGTAGCCTTTTGCCCCATCACTGGGGTCCAAGTCTGGGGAAAACGATGCATTGAGGTTCTCTAGCCAACTCTCTCCTCCAGCATCATCTCATTTCTCCCAGTCTCCTTTTTATAGCTCACTAGCATGCCATACATTTGTTCAAATTCACTAAGTTTCTAACCACTTGAAGGATAACGAGGGTATAAGCTGTTTACCATTGTCTCAAATAGTTTAATGAAGAGGCCAACTCCAGCTCAAAGGCATGGGTTGTTTGACACAAATAGCATTTTATGTGGATTCAAATTAGTTGCAAGAGCTTAAAGATGTGTATTTCAAATAATCTAGATTTCCAGGGTCACCTGGGTGGCTCAGTTAAGTGTCTGCCTTCGGCTCAGGTCATGATCCCAGGGTCCTGGGATAGAGCCCTGCATCGGGCTCCCTGCTCAGTGGGGAGCCTGCTTCTCCCTCTCTCTCTGCCTACCTCTCTGCCTACTTGTGATCTCTGTCAAGTAAATAAAATCTTGAGAAAAACCCAAATAATCTAGATTTCCAACTTCCCTTGAAAAACTGAAAATCTGGCTCAAAAATCCCACCAAGTAGAAATAGTCTGGAACTAAGCAATGGTTGGCCCCTGTATACAGGGCTCTCCAGTTGGCCAGAGTACAAATTCCCTAACTCCCTAGAAGATTCCGGGTTCATTATTACTGTTGTCTTAGCAATAGTTTATGGGGCCCATTCTACCATACTCAGCACTTTTAGCCCCTCATCTTACACAGTCTCTTTCCATTGTCCAATCTGGGGTTATCACCTTTTGAAAATTGAGGAAAAGTTCCTCTTGCCTTGGTTCCTGGATACATACAATCTTGGGGACTTCTGGCCCCACTCTGCATGTAGGGTTCTCCTGGAGTCCTTGAAATTGTTCTTTTCCTTGTTGTGAGTATTCACATAAATGTATGAATATGTAAAAAGTCATCAAGCTATACATTTGGGATGTGTGCACTTTAATATATATTATACTTCAATAAAAAATAATGAGAAAGAATGGATGGGCAGTGTCCTGCCAGACATTGTATGTCTGTCTACGACTCCTGGAACTGTATGGGTCATGTGTCTTGTGCCCATGATGTCAGACACCCTATCTGGACAATTTGCTGAAAATGGCAGAGCAGAAAAAGACTTCTGTGATGTCAGTGAGAGTGCTCAACTGACATTGTAGCTGCTCTTCATGTGAACCTACTGTTGAAATAATTTTTTTCATACACTTTATCAACTCTCAACCATCCCAGTGTGGAATCAGACAAAAAGCTTCTTGATGGCAAGATACAGCCCGCAAAGTACAGTTAACAGGACTCAAGTTCCCATGTGCATACAGTTTAATCATATCTTAGAACAAGAATTTTACCATAAATTACTAAGAAGTTGAACATAAAAGAAATACAGGTAAACATATATTAAGTAGTAAACTATTTAAAAACCCAAAAATCTAAGTCAGACAACTTTATTGCAAAAGATTAAATTCATTGGTCACTGAAAAAAGAACAATTCCAGTTCACAGAATTGAAGTTCTTTATTGATAAACATTTATACTAGAATTAGAAATGTCAGTAGAAAAATAAAATTTAAATAATTTTCTGTTGTACAAAGATTTGATCATTTTGACTATAGCAGTTAGTGAAATAATCTAATACAAAAGTTAAGCTGATTTTAGTCACAACCAGCCTAACAGAGTGCACAAAAAAGAAATGCACGTACACAAAACTTACTGCGTGTGGCTAGCTAATGGTACGAGGGTGTCACATTCCAGGAAATGGTGTCTTAGGAAAGGTTGGTATGCACTGCAGTTGTGACAAGAGCTTAATTCAAACCAGAGCTGTCAGAAAGGACACATACAATTTAAAATTTCAAAAACATAGGAGTGGTTTAATTATTTGCATCAACTTTTTCTCACTGACTTAAACATTTCCTAAGAAGTAATGTTTTGTGCAAAATTAAAAAATGAGTTAAGGGCACAAAGAGCGGCACCTGGGTGGTTGAGTAGTTAAGCGTCTGCCTTCGGCTCAGGTCGTTATCCCGGGGTCCTGGGATCAAGCCCCACATCAGGCTTCCTGCTCAGGAGAGAGCCTGCTTTTCCCTCTCCCTGCCACTCTGTCTCTTTATGCTCTCTATCTTCTGTCAAATAAATAAAAATATTTTTTAAAAATGCCTTAATTTCTGTGTCTTGGCTCTAATAACCAAATACTGAAATCATCGATCAATATGTTCAAAAATTAGTGTTCAGGGCGAGGGGCCTAACAACCATTGGCCCATATGTTCCATTTGTAAAATTCTATCCAAAAGAATGTTCTAGATGTGAATCTTAGTAAGAGGCATACTCCAAGAGATATGATTAAAAATGATTTTCTGTAACAAAGGATATAATATCCTGAATTTCTTAAACAGAAGGGCTACTTTGCAAAATCACAGCTCCTTGAACTGAAAAATGTGGAGTCTCATTTAAAGACTTAAGGGCACCAGGCTGGCTCAGCCAGGGGAGCCTGTGACACCGCATCTTGGGGTTGTGAGTTTGAGCCCCACGTTGGGAACAGAGAGAACTTAAAATCTTGGGGCACTTGAATGGCTCAGTTGGTTAAATGTCTGCCTTCGGCTCAGATTCTGATCTCAGGGTCCTGGGATAGAGTCCCATGTCGTCATTGGGCTCCCTGCTCAATAGGGAGTCTGCTCTTCCCACTGTCTCCCCCTGCTCGTGTTGTCTCTCTCTCTCACTCTCTCAAATAAATAAATAAAATCTTTAAAAAAAAAATCTTAAAAGACTTAAACATTTGCTTGAAAGAAGGATTTCCACAATGGAGAAAAACTTGTTGGGGAATTGGTAAAAACATCTGCTAGCATTCCAAGTCTACTTTTAACTTTCTACCTAGTCTGAGCATGTGTCACTGTAATTTTGATCAGTGGTCTAACGGCCTCTTAGTTAAAAGCAAATGGCCAATTGATTTCTGTGATCTCTTTGTAATTCTTCCTCTTTGCCGATCCCCCCCCCCCACCGCCGTAAGTTGGTCCCTCTGGCAATTTTTAATCAGAAGCCAGAGGGCATATTGCTTTAAATGGAATTGATATGTTTGTGTGTACATAACCTCACGGGCTGTTAGCCTTACTGTCACAATGAAAACTTTCCTTTAAAAACATCAGATTTAATGATCAGAAACTATTCTGAACACAGAGATCAGTGACTATATTCCATTCAACACAGCTGAGGTGGTAAGGATCAAGCGAGACACTTAAATTTTGCAATCCTTTCTCTTTTGAAGGTCACAGTTTTCAGGCCTTTTAAAAATGAAAAAGTGAGGCAGTAGGAGAAAAATTAAGATAGCTAAAACTGGGTTTAAAAAACTCGATGTTTAATTCTCTAGAAAGATATATATTCTCTTGAAGGGAAACGTTAAGTGGAAATTAAACTTTAGGCACTTTCTGGGAGTGACACCCAATACTATTAAGAGTGGTGACCACACTAAGACTAAGAAATGAATAACCACCACCTCTAAGCTGCATTTCTACAATTTCAACCAAAGTCACCAAGAAAAACTTTAACAGAATGTTTAAAAAAAATTTTTGGTACCTCAATGTCCAGAGAGCATCCTAACCTATCTGGCTTAAAGTTTTGAATTCAAACTATTTAATAGGGTATGTTTCCAATTAAATTAAACAAAATCAACAGAATGAAAGTGATGAGAAAAGGGATACAGGAACTCTGGGGGGAAAATGTCTCGATTAGTTAGCTTATTTTGATAAAATGTACAAAACAACAAATGCACATCTCCTAAAATATTATTAAGTCATCAGAGGTCAAGATAGTTATCCAGAAAATATCACATCATCTTTTTCTTTCAGCAGTGGAACGGAAGCCACTACGTCTGTTGCAGGATTTTTTTTTTCCTGTTACATGTCAACAGATTTGTTCTCAAAGCTCTACTTGGCACTTAATGTCATGAAGATGCAGTAAAAGAAGAGTCTGCCAGATGTTAACTGAGTTCGATTAGATAAGATTTTAGTATCGTATGCTTGAAAGAGCAACTATTTCTCATAGTTTCTCTAACAGAGGCGATACTGCATTTTCTCACAGAAAATTGTACATTTCAGTGTGAATGATCAGCCCAGAAGCACTGATGACCTCGGTGGGTAAAGGTGCGCCTGTGAAACTGCTTCAATTAATTTAAAAAAAAAAAAAAAAAGGGGCCCTTAGAAACTTAATTGGTTTTGGTTGCGAACAATAGGGAGTCCAGAAAGATCTTCAATTCCTGGAACTTTCAACTGAAGGAAGGGCTGAGATGTTTCATTTTTCACATACTTCTTCATCCAAGTTTCCTCCACTTGAAGAATTAAGAAAACTCTACATTCCATAATGTATTCTTTCTGTGAGGAGGCTCTCAAATTTAGGTTCGGCATCATGGCCTAAGGGTATATGCTACAGAGTAGCTAAAATCCTTAAGAAGGAGACCACCACTACACAAAATGTCTGCCCAGTGCCCAAGGTGAGGGCTTCAAATGGTATCATTTCCTTTCCTGCTGCTCGGTACACTCCAGCAATTGCAGCACCTGTTATAAAAAACAGTGTTTAAAAAAAAAAAAATTAAGGTTAATATAATCAGGAAAATGCAGCATTTAAAATCCTAATGTATGTAGAATGTTCTAGATTTTTTACATTAAAATATAAATATTATAGAAATGTTCTGTTTTCCCTATACCTTTTTGCTGCCTACTCTAGGTTTTAAGTATTCCCCATACAACTTACAAATCACTGGTTAGTGCTTTTAGATGTTGAAAAGTGTGTCCTTAAAACTGAGTCTCCTAGATTTACTGAATAAAATAATCTGGAAGTCATAACCAAAATCATGAAGATATAGCAATTTCCACATGACCTAATTACACACTCAAAAACTTCTCTTATTTGCCATGCTTAACATTTAACAGGTACCTAAAAAAATCTTGGCAATAAATGCCAACAAAACTTCTGTGTGAGACTAAGCAAGAAATATTTCAGAAGCCACAGGGAGTAGGGACTTCACCTTCTACTGTACTCAGAGCTCCTCTCCCAAAGTGGATAGAAGAGAGAGCAGAGGATGGAAAGGAGAGAGGATGACTCTACGCTTAAGAACTGTTATTAATTCAGGGCGCCTGGGTGGCTCAAAAGGTTAGGCCTCTGCCTTTGGCTCAGGTCACGATCTCAGGGTCCTGGGATCGAGTCCCACATCGGGCTCTCTGCTCAGGGGGAACCTGCTTCCCCCCCAACTCTCTGCCTCTCTGCCTACTTGTGATCTCTGTCTCAGTCAAATAAATAAATAAAATCTTAAAAAAAAAAAAAAGAATTGTTATTAATTCAAAGGGCATGAGGGGATAGATCCTAAGAGGATCCTTTCTGTTCCCCATTATCATTAATCGTTTTTATTATATTAGTCACCACAACTTCCTAGAAACTGAGTAAACCAAACAAACACAAACACCTTTCTTTTTTTCTGTTTTTAAAGATTTTATTTATTTATTTGACAGACAGAGCAATCACAGTAGGCAGAAAGGCAGGCAGAGAGAGAGAGGAGGAAGCAGGCTCCCCGCTGAGCAGAGAGCCCAATGTGGGGCTCCATCCCAGGACACCGGGATCATGACCTGAGCCGAAGGCAGAGGCTTAACCCACTGAGCCACCCAGGCGCCCCAAACACAAACATCTTAATCTCCCTAGAAACTCCTCTTATAGCTACAGGGACTCAGCATTACACCAAGAAAGCCAAGATTTCATTAGTTGAACAAGAAAAGAGCCAAAGTTCCCAGATGACCCTCCTCTTAAAAACTATTCCAAAGAGAATCCTCTTTGGTCAGTGTGTTCATTCATGCAAACTATTTGTTTACCTCTATGTCTAATAAGGTATGATCCCTGTTCTCATTAATGCTCAGTATCAAGCTGAGATACAGAAAGAAAGCATAAGCATGAAGCAGATTTTGAATAATGCAAGACAGTATACAACATTTCAATCAAATGTCTACACATTTTACACCTGGGATATGAGAGCATATTAACATATTTTAAGAAGAAGAAAGAGGTGCGCCTGGGTAGCTCAGTGGGTTAAACCTCTGCCTTTGGTTCGGGTCATGATCTCAGGGTCCTAGAATCCAGGCCCGCATCGGGCTCTCTGCTTAGCAGGGAGCCAGCTTTCCCTCTCTCTCTGCCTGTCTCTCTGCCTACTTGTGATTTCTCTCTCTGTAAATAAAAAAATAAATAAAAAGAAGAAGAAAGAGCAAATGAACCGTTTTCCATACTGGCTGCCAGAAGTATCTATGACTCTGAAATGCCCATCTGCAGAGGCTAGGCATACAGACTGTGTCACTAACATCCTCGAGGCACCTGTTACATTGGGCCCCTTCGTAACTCAGCTCCCAAAATGGTGCGTTGGGTAGACAGAAGCATAAGAAAGTTGAAATGGGCCCTAAAGTCAGGTTTGGATGATGAGGTAGGGAAGAAAGGGAAACGCAGACCAGGCAGAGCAACAAAATGGGAAACAGGCTCTATTCACACTGGAGTCTTAAAAATCGAATGGACTCACTCATTGCACAGTTCCCAAGTGTGAGGTATTATGTTAAGTTCTTCAATAAACATTTCATTTTATCATCACACAGCCTCTGAGGTGGGTGGCCTTATCCTTATTTTACTGAGGAGAAATCTGAGACAGGTCCTTGGAGCCAGGAATCCAATAAGGAAACTAGAGCAGAAGGTCTCTGAAGAGCAGCAGTAGGTGATACAGTTAAAAATACTACGGAAAGCCAGTTACAGAAACATCTTAATGCAGACGGGAGAAAACTGGCCTCTTCCTATTGTTACCACAAACGTTTCATGACCTACAGAATACACAGAAATGAGGCCACTTTGTCCCCCCAAAAAACTCAAGTCAAAGAAAGAGGGACAGTTCTGTTTAGAGCTCAAGGCTTAAATTCACAGACGCATGCACGCACACACATTACAAATTAGTAGGAATGTTACATTTCTAATTTTTATTTTTATTTTTTTTAACATTTTTAAAAAGATTTTATTTATTTATTTATTTACAGAGAGAGAGAGAGAGAGATCGATCACAAGTAGGCAGAGAGGCAGGCGGCGGGGGGGAAGCAGACTCCCCGCTGAGCAGAGAGCCCGATGAGGGGCTCGATCTTAGGACCCTAGAATCATGACCTGAGCTGAAGGCAGAGGCTTTAACCCACTGAGCCACTAAGGCGCCCCCCGACGTTTCTAATTTTTAAAAGCATGTATTTACGTTGACCGGTATACCTAGGAAAAAAGCCTGAAAGCACATACCAAATTGCAAATTGCGGTTTTTCACTTAGGGATGTGATAATGGAGTATTTTTAGTTTTTGCTTTTAATTTATATAAAACAGAGATGATTTTTATACTTAATCGTGCGCTTAAAAATGTTTAAATGTATTCTCATCTTTGTGACATGACCAAAAGCCAAAAAATGAAAAAAAAGTAAAAATAATTTATAATTTGTTATTCCAATTCTTATTCAGAAAGTTGTGAGAGGGGACTCCTGAGTGGCTCAGTCCATTAAGCATCTGCCTTCTGTTCAGGTCATGATCCCAGGACCCTGGCATCGAGTCCCGCATCAGGCTCCTGGCTCAGCGAGAAGCCTGCTTCTCTGCCTGCCGCTCACCCTGCTTGTACTTCACTCTTTCTCACTCTGACAAATAAAATCTTAAAAAAAAAAAATCTGAAAAGGGGAAAAAAATAACCAAAAGACAAATCAGGTACTTCTCTAAACAAGAATTCTTGTCATCAGAATTAGCCTTCCATCCTTAAAGAAACCACCCCCAAGTGAGTAGCAGTAACTCATCAGTGTTGCTAGCTGACGAGAAAGAAGCAGTTGCTTCTGAAAAGATAAACAGCTTCTCTCAATGGCGACCTATCTCATAAAACCTCACCTGGCTTATCTGAAAGACAGGAGAAAACACAACATAGGAAGTCAAAGATGTTAGCCAAATAATGGGGGGCGGGGGGGGAGGTGTTAGAGGTCAGAAAAAAACAGTACACCAAAAAAGAGGCCTATGGTTAAAAGCCACTCTATTTTTCTCTTTAATTCACTCAGACATGTTTCCCAAGTGGGTCCTGAAATTAAGTGACTAGTCATATGAAACGTTTTGACTGGTATTTGAACGTCTAACATACTTGTCAAGATTCCAGCAGTAATTGGTCCCACGATGCCCATCAACAGGATGCTTACAGACATGAACCTACCATATTTGTGATGTCTGAGGGTGAAGAGGGCCAGTAATCCAGCAGGGACATGGAAGAAGAGAGAGGACACCAGTGCCCACAGGAACACACCATACCACATCTCTGCAAAGAAAAGCAGAGAGGTCACAAGTCATTTCCTAGTACATGGATTACCGGGGGCTACTCACTGTACCCGCTTATTTCATTTTCAAAGCCACCCAGCCACAGTGTAGGCTCATCAATCAAATATCCAAAGAGTGATGGTTCTAGAGGGATCAGCAAATTGCGGCCCATAGGCCGCCTGCAGTTTTGGGCATAAACTCTTCCTGGAAAATGGCCATGACATTCAGTTAGGTCTTGCCTTTGGCTGCTTTCAAGCAACAGGAGCAGAGCTTAAATGGCACACGGCCAGTAGAACCTGAGCTATTTACTGTGTGGCCACCTTCAGAACAAGATGGTCAACCTCTAAAATGGCCAATCATGTTAATCTTCTCAAATGAAAAAGCAATACGATCTTATTTGTTCAACAATCATTTTTCAAGACAATGCAGTATCAGGCCATCGCCCCTTAGAATAGCAAAGCTCTTTAAGAAATGAAATAACTACCAGAAAATAGAAATGTCTAGCTTAGAGACAAATAGCACGTAAGTGAGGGGGCCGGATGGAGGAGCTGGTTCCTATGGAGAATGTCTAGCTAACTTTTAAGATGACTGCAATTCAGGCAACATTAAAACATTTGATAACCAACTCTTGTCTAAAAACCTATGCATGAGTCCCCTTGGGAAAGAGACAAAAGGAGCAGATACCATTCTGTCGTCATGTCTTTGTGATCTGATAAACAGCGGATGAAGCAATTTCCCCCACTGAGCCCTGGCAAGCCTTTACAATCTCAAAATAGCCCTTTAGCTACCCACATGGATACAATGAAGGTGTCACGTCACATGAAATCTGTTGTACATCCTCGCGCTAGGAGCAGGTAAGTAACAGGCAATTTCAGAGATCAGTCAACAGCTTAACTCAGTACTACTGACATGTGGACCAGTTAGCCCTTTGTCATGGGGGACCGTCTGTGCACTGCAGGACATGGAGCAATGGCCCTGGCCTCTCGCCCTCTCCCAGTCGTGACAACCAAAAAATATTTCCAGACTGCCAAATGTCCTGGTGGGGGAAGGAGGTGGTCAACAATCACCCTGATTGGGATGCCTGGGTGGCTCAGTGGGTTAAAGCCTCTGCCTTCGGCTCAGGTCATGATCCCAGGGTCTTGGGATCGAGCCCCACATCGGGCTCTGCTCCGCGGGGAGCCTGCTTCCTCCTCTCTTTCTCTGCGTATTTGTGATCTCTGTCAAATAAATAAATAAAATCTTAAAAAAAAAATCACCCTGATTAAAAACCACTGCTCTGGGGCACCTGGGTGGCTCAGTTGTTAAGCATCTGCTTTTGGCTCAGGTCATGATCCCAGGGTCCTGGGATCAAGTCCCGCACTGGGCTCTCTGCTCAGTGGGGAGTCTGCTTCTCCCTCTCTCACTCCCCCTCTCTCACTGTGTCTCTGTCAAATAAATCAAAATTTTTAAAAACCTGGTCTGACTGAAGCAGAGGGTCTATAAAACTAAAAGCAGTTAAAACAACAAAAATAGGGGCACCTGACTGGCTCAGTTGGTAGAGCATGAGACTCTTGAGTTCAGAGTCATGAGTTCAAGCCCCACAATGGGCATGGAGCCTACTTGGGCGGGGGGGTGGTGGTGAGAAGCTACAAAGACAGATTCGGTCATGTTACAGTGGGTTTTGAAGGTCAGACTAAAGACTTCAACGTGAAAACCCTAGAAGCACCATTAAAGGTTCTAAGCAGTGAAAGCTGTCCGACCATTATTTCATAGGTCCAACCTTACACTCCCAGGAGGAATACAAACTAGAAAACCTTTCTGGAGGGTAATTTAGAAGCATGTATCCAAAAAAGCCAAGTGTGCATGCCCTTGGCCACAGCGACCTCACTTCCAGGAATATTCCAGGAACACCACCTCCAGGAATATACATGCAGGCAAGGGTGGAGGTAGCAAGGTTCCGGAAGCGCTGTCTGTAACGGCAAAGACCAGATGCCAGCTGCGTGTCTGTCAGTGGAGGACTTGTCAAACATATCTGGTGCACCCACATAACGTAACATTGCACAATCACATAAAAACATGGGCTATGGGGCATGTGAGTGGCTCAGTGGGTTAAAACCTCTGCCTTCGGCTAAGGTCATGGTCCCAGGGTCCTGGGATGGAGCCCCGCATGGGGCTCTCTGCTCAGCATGGAGCCTGCTTCCCTTCCCCTCTCTCTGCCTGCCTCTGTGTGATCTCTGTCAAATAAATAAATAAATAAGCTTAAAAAGAAAAAAACATGGGCTACATTTTTATATACCAAGGGGATTAAAATGCCCAACCCATCTTTGGAAGTAAAAAAAAAACCCAACGTGCAGAAGAGTGTATAAGAGATGCTGTGGTTTGGGTTTGTTTTTTTTTTTAAGATTTTATTTATTTATTTGACAGGCAGAGAAAGAAGGGTAGAAGCAGGCTCCCCACTGAGCAGAGAGCCTGATGCGGGGCTCGATCCCAGTTCCCTGGGATCATGACCTGAGCTGAAGGCAGAGGCTTTAACCTGAGCCACCCAGGCGCCCCAGAAGATCCTGTTTTTATAAAAACAAAACAAACACCAACAAATGTATGTGTAAATAATTCTATGCCCTTGGAGAAAAGTCTGGACATAGATGTATTTACTAAGTATTTATGACATGCACAGGCACTGTTCTAAGTGCTTTATAAATCTTAACCCATGCAATCCTCTAACACAACTCTATGAGGCACAGATCATGAATATCCCTGGCTCCTGGATGAGGAAACCAGAGGCGGAGGGAGGGAAGGAACTTACTGGAGCCCACAGTGCTGGTGAGTCCACCAGGCCAGCAGGAGGCAGAGCCCAGTTGGAGGCCTGTTGGATCCTGACACCCGAAGCCACGCCCTTCTCCTCTATGCTACACAGCAAGTAACAGCAACAGAAAAGTGTTGTATCTGGGGGTGCCTGGGTGGCTCACTCATTAAGTTTCTGCCTTTGGCACAGGTCATGATCCGGGGTCCTGGGATGGAGCCCCACAGCGGGCTCCCTGCTTAGCTCCCCCTACCTGTGTTCCCTCTCTTGCTGTCAAATAAATAAATAAAATCTTAAAAAAAAAAAAAAGTGTTATTTCTGGGGAGTTGGATAGGCTGGGGACGGGCTGATGAGCATTCACTTTTTACTTTGATTTTTTCCCTCTCTTTTTAGGTAGGCTCCACGCCCAGGGGGCCAGGGGTGGGGGTGGCTTGAACTCACAACCTTGAGATCAAGACCTGAGCCAAGATCAAGAGTGGGAGACTTAACTGACTGAGCCACCCAGAAGCCTCTACTTTGATTTTTTTTTTAACTTTGATTTCTTTTAAAGCTTTTCTAGTTGTTTACTGGTTTTACAAAATTATTATAAAAAGAAACTAGAAAAAGAAAAAAAAAGAGCCTTTGTTTCTAAAAGAGCAGTTCAGGAAGGCTGATCTGATTGGAATGAACAATTGCAGAAAAAAATCAGCTTAGGGACAGTGGAGAGAGGGAAGGGGAGGACCAGGGGCTTTTCTCAAAGCTGTCTCTGAAGCTGTCCTTGAAGCCACTGTAAGAATTGCTGCTGTGCATGTTTTCTTTCCAGATCAGTTTTGAATTGTTGGGGGTGGAAGATTAGGAGTGGAGACCAAATCCCTCCACGCCACCCTTGGCATTGTCAATGATGACCGGTGTAATACAAAATCAGATGCTCAGAAATTCTGACTCACATCAAGTTTCAATTAATACCATATTCTATACCTAAATTAGAGGACACCTACCTCAAGCTTTGGATGATAGGCTCCAAATCAAAGTATCAGGCATGCCCCATCTAGGGCTCAAAGTTTATTAAAAATAACAAATGAGGGCGCCTGAGTGGCTCAGTGGGTTAAAGCCTCTGCCTTCGGCTCAGGTCATGATCCCAGGGTCCTGGGATTGAGCCTCACATCGGGTTCTCTGCTCAGCGGGGAGCCTGCTTCCTCCTCCTCTCTCTCTCTCTCTCTCTCTCTGCCTACTTGTGATCTCTGTCTGTCAAATAAATAAATAAATCTTAAAAAAAAAATGACTAGGGGCGCCTGGGTGGCTCAGTAGGTTAACCATCTGTCCCTTGGCTCAGCTCATGATCCCAGGGTCTGGAGGTCGAGCCCCTTGAGGGGCTCCCTGCTCAGCTCATCTGGGAGCCTGCTTCTCCCTTTCCCGCTGCCCCAATCCACCACCGAAGCTCTCTCTCAAATTAATAAATAAAATCTAAAAAAAAAAAAAATAACGACCGAGGCACTTTTGCTCTGGTGAAAAGCTATCAGACAGCTATAAAAAGTTTCAAACCATTCGTAAAACTTTTCTTTCCCTCTGCTGAACAGGATATATCATCCTCCGAATAATTTTTTTTTGACTGCTGAAACTGGTCGGTTTGATGGCGTTTGGCAAATTCTGCTAAACCAAGTTAGATCATGCAATATGGAGCATGAAGTGATTAGACAGTAAGGTCCCAAGCTTAAAACTTAAATATGTATAACGTAAAAAATATGTGTAAATATATAAGTATACATACATGCACTAATTAACTACTGTCCCTCCTCAGCCAAAGCAAAAAAGCCTCTCTCCAGTCAGGATATTGATTAGAAAAGCAGGCAGGGTTCGCAATCACCGGGGTTTGAGCTCCGTTCTCTTTGGAAATAAGCCTGTCTGCTACCAGAGCCTCCTTTCCAGTCTCAGGCCAGGAGATCCTCTTGCTTCCACGACCTAGGACACTTGCCCTCTTTTGTGGGCAGCGGCTCTCAGAGTCCCTACTGGAGAGCAGACAGTCCAGATATGGTCCCTCCAATAAATGTGCACCTGCCAGAGCTCTGGTGCCCACAAACCCCTCCTGCCTGGGCAGCCCCTGTTGCACCCTGGCTCAGGAAGAGCAGCCTGGTCTTCCCAGCCTAAGCCACCCCCACACTGGCTGGACCCTAGGCCACAGCACGGCACCATGCTGTTCCCTTCCAAAACAGTAACCCCAATCTTCAGTCCGAGTCCTTACTAGC